GTTTTTCTAATTATTTTATTATTAGTTAACTTGAAATGCGCAAATCATCGGTGTCTATATAACGATAATTTTACATAAAACGTATGCAACTACGTCACTATAATTTTCCGATCATGTTCCGCTGATCGCTCTCATATTTGAAGGACTTCGTCCGCATAGCGATTTTAATTAACAACGCAAAACGGAATATTCTGACTTTTAAAACATTGCTGGATGTTTCGAATTTACTTTCATGTTATCCATATTGGGTTCCATAAGTCCTGAAAATCAAGATTGTGATTTTTTAAGTGCAAGTTTAATTAAAAAAAAAATAAATTGAACAAGTCAGTTTGAACGTGTCCTAAGTATTTTTTTATTATAAACATTTTCGCATGGTATCCCACTTATCTTTAAAGATAAAAGGTCCGGCTTTTTCAATATTGCACCACTTTTATAATGAAATATGGCAGAAACAGAATTTCCCTACCCAACGTGTTTTTGAACTGCTTCTTTTTTTTTGTTGTATTTTCCGGTAGACTCCTGTATCTTTTCTACTTGGTAACTTACCTAAAAGTTAATAATTATTTCTTACGCAATTTTTTGTGTAGAATTCAGAATGAAACTTTATATATCATTTTTTATTGTGTGTGCTAATCTATTTTGAACAGTAATGCAAATACCAAAAAACTGACAAGCTGGTCAGTTTTTAGTTACAGGAAATTTTGTAGAAATGTTTTTTTTTATTGATTTTTAAGCAGATTCTGTGGCGAAACTTTGCGGGGCCATCATTTTAGCCTTCCACAAAAAGGAAAAGTTATAATAACTTTCGAATACTTAAAAAAAAGCGAAATACATTAATGAATTTTGAGAATCTCATTTAGAAACATTTGTTTTTTTAATTGTTATTTATTTGCTTACGTTGACTAAGTATATAATGAAATTTCGTGAAATATTTGTAGAATTGTTAAGTATTTCCTTGGAGTTTTAAGTACTTCCAATTAAGTGAAGGATATTTAATTAATTATTTAAAATTATATGGATTAAATTAAAATTTTAAAAAATGCCAATATGTAATTATTAAATAAATATATAATAAAGTTATTTGTACACTGGCGTCTAAAGCTGTAACATTTATTATGTATTTATATTTTTTGGAGTATTCACTCAAGTATTCAGAATTATTTCCGGCTTTGATTGTAGTGTTTCGATTAACACATATTAAGAATTCTCAAAATTCTTTTCTGAATGTGATAAACATGTCTTTTTCCTTTAATAAAAGTGCGTCATTCAACTTATTAATTTAAATACTTATATTTAAAATAACTGCAAGTGCTAATATAAAAATATCACGCGCTGGTTACAGTATTATCTCATATGTGCAAATTTATGTCAGTTCGTTATTAAAATAGCGTATTTTTTTATAGTTAGATTCATAATTTTATAAATTATTTTTCAAAATCAAAAGTTTGTAGCTAAAGTATCGAACATCTCATTATGATTACTTATTTATTTTGATAGACTAGAAATCCGTCAATTTCTAGCTTTAAATAGTAATTAGTGAAATATGGGCATAACATATAATGTCTCTATCTATCTATCTAGATAATGATACCGAGCTTCGGAAAAGATTGGACAAAAGACGCCGCTGCGAAAAAAAGCAGAATAACTTGAATACAACCTTGGACATTGATTTGAGCCATTTTTTCAATATTTTCATTTTAATATCTTTTAAACCATTCAACCGACTTCAATATTTTTGGCCTTTTTTGAAAGAGCATGTAAAAAACGTTCAGAAATTTCGCAAGTCAAAGTACAGTTCCAATAAAGAACGTATTTGTAGATTTTTTTTGTAACTTTTAAATAAACTCTTAAAAAATTAAATCAAAACCCGAAAATTTTAGTTCTTGAAGAATGGAATACCTGCTATAGTACGTATACCCGGCTCTATATCTGCTACTTGAGACGAGTTTATTTGCTTTCCTGATTCCTGAGGTTTTTTAGGTACACAAGTGACGTAGTATAATTATGAACTATAAATATAACATTGTTATCTTATTATCATCACTTCTAGATTTAGAAATACGTGATAAATTGTGGATTGTTGAAGTGAAACACTTTTTTTTTCAAATTAATATGCGTATTATGCGTTATATCTGCTATATTGTTACACTACTTAAATATGCACCAAAAATGTCATTTTCTGAACTCCGGCATCGGATGACGTTGATTCGCGATATTTTTTGCTTCGTTTTCGTTGATATTTATAGATTTTTTTTCAATAATCGACCGTATAAATACTGAGAGCTGTACTTCGTGGCAAATGTTATGACAGGAATAACGACCACATAACAAAAGCTACGTTGCCAATGGCCAAAAATAAAAACCTTTTCGACATAATAACCAAACCTGTATTGTTCGTTTCGTATTTAATTCCAGTAGGCACACATTTTCACAAGCTGTTAACTCATTAATCGATTACAAAAACGTTGTAATGTGTGTAACGATTTTTCAAAATCAGAAAATCCTTCACCTAGAGATGGTGCTCCCGCGAATTTCGAAAACAGGTTGCTTGCGTTTTTTTTATATATATATCTCACGACGTCGAGCGTACATTCAAAAATAAATATCGAATATATCACTCTTGATAGCATCCAACACGTGTCTATTCAAACGACAATAATTTATTCCAATTTTAGGAAATATTGCGGAAAAACTATTTGTATTTAGTTTTCTCAAGTGGCCACGCTTGCGCAGGTCGCATAGTCTCCCACAAATGTGCGTTTTGAAGGTCTCAATAGATCTCTAGAATCGATACTTCTGCAATATATAGTTGATCTGATGTTCATGAACCAGTCATCGTTATTCTATTCTACAGTTGATAGGTTACAGGTTCGCTATCTACAAGGAGTTTAAATTTTATGAGAAAAATCCTCCCTGAATTTTGTAAATTGTACTGATCCGATTATTTTTAGAATAATTTTTTTAAGGAAAATCGGCAACGCTGTATAATTGTATTTCTTTCGATAGATTTTTTTATGAAGTATTAAATTTTTAATTTTTATTTTTAACAGAATCATTCGATTTCGCTATGGAATCAATTAATACTATTTTGTGTTTGTGTGTCACTCCAAACGTGCAATATATCAAAAAGCCGGCGTATTCTTAAGATACTGGCAAGTAGAGCAAACTCAAATGCTAATTACGCAGTGAGAATACCAAAATATTTCGATGATCAAACGAACTTACCTGGTAAGTGAAGTTCGATAGTAATTATATGTTATAATCAATATATGTAGTCCCCCTTCTAGTCGCTAGGTGGCACCACAGCTTTAAAGCAGAGCCAAAAAACTGTGGAATAATTTATCCTGCACGGTATATTCGCCATCTATGGTCTTAACCTCATTCTATTTTAAAGCCCGCTTATAATAAATTTGCCCAAGGGCATTTTAGTACTGTTCAGAACAGTACATTGGGCGGGAATGGGTGATTTCTACGAAGAGATGTAACATATAATTACGATCGAACTTCACTTACCAGGTAAGTTCGTTTGATCATCGAATTATATGTTACACCTCTTCTATGAAATCAATATACGTAGACTTTCAAAGGCAACTCAGCAAATTTGCTATAAAACGATTTTATTCGGCTATATGAGGAAATCCAAACCTTATGAAGTTTATGAAAGCCTCGAGTACAAATACAAAATAAATGGCTGTCCGAGAAAACAAACATTCTGAAAAATTCTATGTCACAATGTGGCATTAACAAAAAAGCGTTCACCTGTTGTACAAATAGGTCTATTATAAAAAAAGGGCAAAACATTTAGAGCGTTCTCACCAATCTGCCGTCTTTCCAGCCATATCAATTGAAACACCTTTACAAAACGCAGACGATATTGAGACATGTCTATCCTCTGAACCTATCTTTATTCATCTGCTTATGTTGGGTCTAGTTGCTGCCCTACAAGGCTTTTTAAATGTAATGAGTAAACGAGATTCACTGCCTCTTAAAGCACTGGTCCTCTCAATATAAAACAGAATATTTGATTTACATCTTCATATTTATGCAAAAAACGGGTCGAGTCTTATTTATAGCTGAAATCTTAATTTGATTCGTTATTCTGATTTCTAATCCATCTGGAAATGATTTTATGTTGACCAATTCTATAAGAGAGAGCGTTTGGACTCTATGTGCAATCGTTAACGCCAGTAAGAAAACTAATTAAATTGTTTTAATGACAGTTAATTGCTTCAATGACAACAAGTCAGTCAACTACAAAGTCAGGGACATAACAAGGGCCCCAAGTGCTGTCATATCTTGGTTTACTTCACCTTAGATTATAAACACCTTAAAAAACCTAGTTAGATTTACATTGTTAAATAATTCTGATCCAAAAATAAGGCCGTGCCGCTCTGAAAGAACTCCTGAGTCATAGGACTTGCCTTGTCTAAAATGAATAGTAAGGAAATCTAATACAGCCTAGGTGAGAAGTAATAACACTCCACTCCCCTCCTTTTGTAGAAGCTCCACCAAAGTTTAAATGCATGCAGGTATTAAATGCCTCAAGGTAGCGCTCTGAACAGATGATAGAAAAATTCCAGCGAATCTTCTGCAATGCTTGCCTGACAAATCCCTGCAGCCAGGGTAAGGGATTTCCACAGAAGGTGACCTCTCCTGTTAAAAGAAGAAGGTAATTTGTCTGGGGTTAGAAACAATAAATAGCTACAGCGCCTCCCATTAAAAATAGGAAACCAATGCTGGCTGTGCCCGTAAGGGATTACATGTGCCACCAAAGCACAAAAAGAGGAATGGGGTTAAGACCATAGATGGCAAATATACCGTGCATGGTAAGTTATTCCACAATTTTTGTGGCTCTGCTTTAAAGCTGTTGTGCCACCTAGCGACTAGAAGGGGGACTACGTATATTGATTTCATAAAAGAGGTGTAACATATAATTGATAGTTATAGTACATTTTTTGATAAATTTCAGGTATCAATTACAATATAATTCGTAATTTCAGGCATATCATAATGGCTTGCCATGTTCACTGGAGGAAACTCAAGGCCGTCCAACGTCAAAATCATGCAGATTTTTTATGAAGTGAAACAACAGTTTCCAAGTATACCGGATCACTTGGTCACATCCTTGGTCAGTTCCTACGTTCAACAAAACTCAACTTTGAGCGATCTCATCGGCGTTTTAAAGGAAGTGGCTGCGAACCAAGATCAGCAGATGGGACGGTCCCTCAAGGAATTGGACACCACCCCTCTAGCCCTCTCCCCCGTTGTCGAAAATACTGCCGAGTCCGTTGGCAAAGTGATACAGACTGAAAGTGATAACATTGTCGCAAACAACGCTATGGACCAAAGTGTGAGTGATATCAATCAAAATGTAATTAAAAAAAGTGATAGTGCCGCGAAGAGACCGGACACTTTGGACATTCAATCGGACAAAACGAGTTTCGATAAAGACAGACGATTACGTCCGTCCGAAAAATGCACGGATCTTTATAAACTGCTCAATTCTCCAAACCTGAACGAGAAGCCTCCACGGTCCCCCCTAAGTGCCAAACGAGCCACCCCTTCCGTCCTAAAACAATCTCCCACGACTTCCAAAGAGACGCCAAAGAAAGAAACCGTCTCCACGCCCACCCAAACGACTGATACTTTGATTAACAATTGCGTAGCTCCTAGCGTAAACTTGTCTTTAAATGTTAATTGTCAGATGGGGGTTGTCCAAAGCCCGGTCAAGCCCAAGAGTACCACTAGGTTGGAAGTTACCCCGACCCAGCCGTGGTTAAACCCCGCGTCGTGGTTTCAACCAGGCAACCCCGACGTGACATCACCGAGAAGCTTCACCAGCGTTAATTTGACCTTGAGGCCTCCATCTTCGGCACCCCAACATCCGATAGATATAACCTCACAGAATTCCAATTTAACGTATTCTACTAGTAGTTTCGATCCGCATAGGGGCTTGCAAAGCCGTCTACAGATCACCGTGGGACCTGGTGGATCCGGTAGCGTTTCATCAGTTCGTTCTAGACCTCGGAGTAGTTACGTGCCAATGGAAAGTAATGGTGGAGACATTGTTGCCGCCAGGGCTGGTTCTTTGAATAATTTGGCGGCTGTTAATCCAGAATGTAAGTCATTAAAACTTTAATCCTAATTTAAAGCGGCTATGATCAGCGCACCTCTAACGTTGGCGATCAGATGCTAGCTTTTGATGTAAAACAAGAATTAAGCCTGTAAACTTTCTGCAAATTTCCATCATTACTGTTCTTGAGACTTAAGTTCCTTTCAATAGATCAATCACTTCCTCCGTACTAAAATATTTATACTAGTGTCTGCTAACTATTAAAACATACAGTACGATGAACTGGGGAATAATATATTATTATTATTACAAACATCCATCTGTATGAGATTCGGATCAGAAGTTATCTAACTTATCGCCTAGTTCCTTGCCACTGGGTTTCTAGCAATGTCGATTGTAACAATTAAAAAGACATTGTTGTTGTTTTTTATACAGTCGCAAACACGGAGTTTCATGCAGGTGGCTACAGCTACCGTCAGCTGATTTATTGCCTAAAACCCATTGGGTTTTCAGTTATCAACCACAAAGGTGCAGTTGGCTTATGTCAAGGCTCCATTCTGTCTACTTCTTCAGTAGCAGCTTGGTTGACTTGGTTACGTAGCACCGATGAAACGTAATAAACCAGAAACTGCCACCTACAGCTAAACCTATGATCCCTTTCTTATGTAAATTTAATTCCATTGAATTTCACTTCGGACCACCTGTTTTTTTTTGCATGTTTTATAAACATGACGTTTCAATATTTATTTTATGAAAAATCCCTACACGTCTTAACTTCTGAGATAGCTGTGTGATAAAGTTTTCAGTGGAAAATCCTACGGCATAGCTTCAACTATCGTTTTGAAATTTACTCAATCCTTTTTTTTTTTAATTTTGCCGACGGCGCCTGTCTGCGATGGAACGCCACTGACTTGAAAAATATATCTGATGGTAATGATGAAAATCAATATTAATGCAAAGTCCAAGTTGTTTTTGAAGAAAATGATTATCAGGTAGTTGGTAGGCGGGCGTCATTTAGAAAAGTTTATTTACTTTTTGTCGTTCATTATCCGGTGTTAAATTTAGAAGTGATCGTACACATAGGTAGTTTCGAGGAACGCATATAGATTATGCTTTAAATTGCTTGAACTGTAAAACGGTTATTAAATAAATTTTCGTTTTATTCCTAGTTGGTTCAATTTAAGTTTACGCGATCCGTGACTTACGAGTATTATTTATAGAAATGAACGGTTTAATATTTTAATCCTAAATAAATACGGCATAAGCTTAGGTCGAACCTTGGGTATACCTTGTGTCAAAGTATATCGTCTTGAATCTTGACGGCAATTATCGAAACAACTTGCCGACAGCAATAACTAGAATTGGCTCTATATTATTTTGTACGCAAATGTAAGAATTTTCATTATTGTTATTATTATTTATGTTATTAAATTTATTTTACATGAACTTAAAGTAGGAGTAACATTTTCTGCTCTCATATATACTTGATGCCGCTAGTGTTCTATGGGGGTGAATATACAATGGTATGGAGGACGATGTAAAGAGTTTTTGTAGCAGGGGGCTGTGATCGCTTGCGCTATCCATGTTAATGACTTATCCGCAATATTTTTTAAAAGAATTCTGAAAGTTCTGCATCATAATAGTCTAAGCAAGAGTATCTACTTTTTTCTTCGCAAACAACAGCTATTTGGATTAAATCCCTCTTCTGATCCAGCGTGAATTATGCATCTGAGATCTATAATTTTTAACCGCCATCTGTGCAACTCTATTACCATTAACAGTTAAAGTCTGTTCATAGATATAAGAAAGTGACTAACTGATACGAATTAAGGAAAGACCCGGGCAAGCTGTAAGAATGAAATATGACCGAACAGGTCCGTACTTTACTTAGATACTAAACAATATTTATTTATTTATGTATGTATTTATGTTTAAATCTAAAAGTACAAATTATTTTCATTACCTACTTAAATTACTTAAAATTATTCACATAATATATTAGTATCACTATCGCTATCATCGCCTGTTCTAATTATTATTTGTTCTGTATTATTTGCAATATGGATATACGATTGTTCTGCTTTTTCTATATGTTTAACAGAATTTGCCCAACTTTGTGGAGGGATGTTAGGTTGTGGTACGGTGGAAGCCTTAAAACTGTATGCCCTAGATTTTTTGCATAATTATCACAGACGTATTCCTTTCGTAGGTTCAAGCTTTGTAGAACCTCAGTTAATTGCTTTTTGGTATAATTTTCGTGAAAATAAATGTCGTTATTATACATGTAGTTTTGGATTGTTGCTTTTGTGTCTGTGATAACTTGCATTGTCCATTACAATGACGCTATTAGGAGGAATGTTTCGAAATAGTTTGTTTTTAAACCAACTCTCAAATAAATCAGCGGTGGTGTCTTCATGGTAATCGGGAGAAGAATGTTTAATATTTTTCGCAGACAGAGAAAGTCCATTTGGAATCCAACGATTTTTGGAGCCAGCATGCAAAATAGTTATTCTTTTACCCCTTTTTGATGGCGCGTTTGTTTTACACTTATCAGTTGAGTCAACCCAACCCTTTTCTGGGGTATCATAAGTGTCGAACCAGGTTTCATCCAAGTAAATAATTGGCCTTTGTTGTCCTCTGTAAATCCTATTTTTTATAGATATTCCAGCCATTTCCGAATTCTAAAAGATTCCATTAAAACTTGCCTTTTGTCAATTTTTTTAAATCTTAAATCCCGGTTTCATCTTTTTCAAGCCTCCTAATTAAGATATCTAATGTAGGTACGCTTTGTTCCTGGTATGACTGGTAAATTTTACGCCGTATTATATCTTGATCACTTTCATCTACACTCGAGAAAATGTCAGCATCGCTTCTTTTTTTCCTCGCTGAAATGGGATTGTTCACAATTTTCCGTACAGTTGATGTTGGAATTTTCGTCAATGTGGCCGTTTCCTCTAAAGATGCTTACTTGCTGGCACCAAGTTCAATGAGAGTCAAATAAACATTGTTTGTAACTTCCTTAGTCTCAATAGAATAGTGTTTTCTACATTTGGGCGGGAGCATCTCCTGAGATACACTAGACTCGCACATATTTTGCATAATTCGCACACGATTCAACACACGCTCTATTACACACGAAATAAGAATGATTACTAATAAACTTAAACTAAGTAGTATACCAAACCAAAGAATATTAAACATAGGTAGGTATAAAATTTTACCTGAATTTAAATTCCGAAACTTTCTCATTCAAAAGCAATTGGTCACTTTCTTATATCTATGAACAGACCATACCTTATGTACAATTTGTAGAAGATCGTAATTACAACATACTTCAAGACGCACCACACTTATTATTGGATACACATATCATCAGTCAACAAGGAAGAATGGTAGCCGTTTACTCGATCTAACAATATTTACAATTTCCTGATCTTCGTGTAAAACTTTTCAATAGTGTATGGTTCCATTCTGACTAGAATATTAAAAATTTATTTATTTAACATGTTAACAGTTCTAATTTTCTGTATCCATTCTTGGAGGTTGTTGAATATTTTTATGCACTGGTAATAAGGTCCCTTTTCAGTCTCTTTGAGTCAGTTTGTGATTCATTAAGAGTAAAACAGGATTTATTTTTTAAAAAGTACATGACGCACTCCTGTATGAACACTGCAGATACTGTGGAGACATTAAGTTCTTTGAACTTTCCTCTGTACGACTGTCTACTTTCTAGACCTAGAAGTATTCTGATTGCTCGCTTTTGTACTATAAATACTTTTTCAATGCCTGTGCAACTCATATACAGTAGTATTCGATATCTAATATGACTTTCAAAATTAGCATGACATAACATCTTTTTAGTACCTGTATGTGTCAGGTTTTGAAAATAAAAGCACTTTATTAGCAAAATCTAGTGATTTTGACAACAAGGTAGGCGCGAATTTCATTTGGCGACCAATAAATTTTCTTATTTAAAAAATGAAGAAAAAATAATTGAATTGGGTGAAGATTTTTCAAGTGAATAACCAAAGATGCTTTTTATTTTCATCGAAAGTGTGGACGCCGGAATATTTTGCCTAAAATGATGATTTTGCACACGCCGTAGAAGTTGGTACTCTCCCTAAATATTCAATTAACCCAGCAATAAGAATTTAAAGTGATGTCTGTTTCATTGCAAGAATATGGTTACAGGTTACCCATTTCAAAAATCAATACTTTTAGATACACCATTGGAAAGATTTTAGATTCCCAAAACTTCTAATTTTCCATTAACTCTGAGAACCGCTATATATGTTATGTTTGTTCGATACCGATACCGTATCGATTTTACATTGTCCTGTTAAAAAACTTGTTGGTGTAAAAGACTACTCTTTGAAATCTGAGATGATGGCAAACGGCTCCATTCATTACAAAGAACTAGGCACAAGTGTGTCTCCAAATATTTCAAACGTGGGGGTAACGCGAATTGAACGAAAATCTTCGAACGAATGTTTCGGCGACGTCGGGTATCATGCTTGTCGATACGAAAATAACGGCAAAGTTTTCAGTGGGTGTTCAAACGATCTATTTTCGGGACAAGTGGGCACGTGAGAGGCAAGGCGGGGGAGACGACCACCGCGAACACCTGATGGCGAACGCCACGTTCCGGTTTCAAATGCCTACCTGTCGACTTCTGGGTCGCCATTGCAATTAATTCATCGTGATTTTTGATGCCGGACAACTATTTTTCTAGAGCTGCGTTTTTTTTAAGAACCTCCCTGAATCTCATTAAATAAAAATACCCACCAAATGCCATGTTTCAAAACTGCCCATTAAAAATGTAGAATTTTTATTATTATTATTTTATGAAGTATGACTTCCAATTTAACTTTTCGTTTCAACTTCGGAACGCTAACTGATTTAAATCATTTATCATCATCATAATAATTTGGCGACGCGGCAAAAAAGATGGTATTAAATTGGGATCCATGACATCATATTTTCATATGTACCGTGTCGCCAATTAAAAAGGGCACTCAGCCCTGTCTTAAAAAGTAAATGTCGTATAGACTTGGGCTGGAAATTGCTCCAAATTATTCTTAAATATCTAGCCGCCAGTAGGCGTAATCGCATTCTTGAATTTTAAGTCCCATTTTTTGAGAAATAATCTAACAATAAAATGAAAACCGTTTTAAAGTTGGAAAAGCCAATTCCTTTTCGTAGAATAGTTTTTGCCTTCCCTGTTAAGGGAAAGTGATGAGGGACGTTCGAACGGAAATAAATGTCAATTACTTCTGAATCGCTGAACGCATTTTGTCGAGCTTGGAGTCTTAGGCTATCAACACTGCTCTGGGGGGATTGATATCGACGCTAGAGGGCGTTTTATTCTAACAAAAGATTGCCAAATAAGGGTCTAACACGTCAGTGAAAACCGCATTTGGATATCTTTTTCCTAACCTATAATACCAGTAAGGGAAATGAAAACTAGAAATAATGTAATAACCTAATTAAAATTAAAAAAGAGCGTATAACTTGAATGGCTCCGTTAACACAGTATTCTACAATAATATTAAGCTAATAGATTACAATGTATTTGCTAGTTGTGGTGGTAATTCCGCGATTTACAAAAACCTACAAGGGTTTACGTAATTTAAAATAATCTCTTTGAATAAACACCAACACGAGATTTCACACAAAAGATTTCAGATTTCCAGACATTTTAAAAAAAAATTAATTAATTTGTTTTTCAAAATTCTTTGATTTTTTTTCTTTGTCTCCAGATTTAGAAAACGTGTTTATTTTAGAAATTAAGTAAAAATAAAAGAAAGCTGTTGTGATATGTCCTTACGTACATCACACAAAAATTATCATATCAATAAAATTTATATTTATTTATATTGTGTGTTAAGTCGCCATCGCCTCGTTCTGAAAACTAAATGGAACTGAATGGAGTAAAATGGAGTAGTATCGCACCATAAAAGGTGAATACACTTGTTAGATGAGTAATTTGCATATTACTATCTGCCAACTCGATGTTCACGGCAAGTGCATTTGCTATCACAACAAACACAATGTTGAATCATAGGCACCATAACCTTGGCCGTTTAACAGCAGATTCCAATGCAATCAGCAATGTTGATTTTCGATTTTCCCGTTACAAAATTCAAACTGTCGTTTATTTTTACTTTACAGTACCACTTACGGAAAAAAGAGAAATTTTTGAAAGTTGTTTTATTTTATTTCTTTGAATCCATTTATAAATTACATATTTAGATTGCTAATTTCCATAATCAGAAGTTTATTTTCTAAGTTTTCAAATTTTGGATTATAATAATTTAATTTATTTTTAAATTGTCGCCAGCGTTTTAATGCGACGCATTAGTGACGTCTAATTTTAACTGGATAACCTGTGACCACACCTGTACATTTCTTCTTATATTCTTCTTATATAAATTTGTAGATGACTTATACAATTCAGAACTAGAGATATCTGAAATGCTAAAATTGCTTTACTAACGAGAATTGAACCAGTCTTAGGTTGATAAGACTATACGTTTCAAAAAATTTTAAAAACAATTTTAATGTCGGTATATTATCACTACTTATACGTAATTCCAAAACAAAATATAATAAGAATGAACGAAAAAATCATATAACAGTCGACGGCAGCCAAATTAACGGAAACGTCAATGTTAAAATGATTGGTTTTTACTATAAAAAATCAAGTTTCAACGAAAATTGTCGCCACATTATGGGATGATTTTTTTTTATATTTCCTGATATACAGAAAGAGACCATTTTTAAGATGTAACTATCAAAATTGCAGTAACGTGTATATATTTTGTTTCTTCGAAAAGTTAAAATGCTTTCAGGACAGTGTTTTCTATAAATTAAAATCAGTTTTACCTTTGATAAAAATCGATACAGCTATTTAAAAAAAAGTTTTGTGAATCTTAAAAAACTTAGTAAATACAATCTTTTATGACGCCCTTACTTTATAATCCTATGCGCCACTTATAGTTCCGATATTCTCGAATTTGGAATGATCTCGTGCCTCTAAAAGCACTTTGCTCCATTTTTTAACTTAACTCGTTTCCAAACAAAACATTTAATAAGTTCTAGACATAATTGTCATAAAAATGTTACATCTAAATTTAAACATGTCGAATTGAAAATAAACAAGAACTAAAAGTTCAGATTTTTACGAAATTATATATTTTGACATGACAATTGTTTCGGCAACACCGTGTCGTTATCAAAACATTTGATAAAGACACGGTGTTGTCAAAATATATAATTTCGTGAAAATCTGAACTTCTAGTTCTTATTTATTTTGATAAATGGATTTTCATCAAGTAAAAGCCACCTCAGTTCAATGTCGAATTGATGAACTGTCAGCGGCCATGTTGATTTTTGAACGCCGCCAAGCTTGCTTTGGCGCATCCGCATATGAAATGGCCCATATCAGTATTTTTTTTTTCATCGTGGCTTCTTTCTTTTATTATGATGATAGACAGGGCCTCTATATATCTAGTAGCTATATGTTATATACAAATAAAGAAATGGTGTATAACAATAGTAATTTTACCGAATTTCCAGCCGCCACCGTAATGAAACAGCAGGCTCGAGTGGAAAGGATGCGAATAGAGCTGCAAACGGGATACGCCAAACTGGTGATAATGAGGCAAGAAGTGGACAGTTTGGAGAAGATGAAACAGCAGTCCGAAAAAAGGGCATCCGCGGAGGTCGAGAAACAACTGCAAATGGAAATCAAACACTTGCGGTTCCAGTGTGAACAATTGGCAATGGCCGACAAGGGTTGGTTGTGAATTTTCTTATGATTTGACATTGTTTTTAACACAAATCAAACTTAAACTTATCTAAAATCAGTTTTCAATCGACTTTTTTATAGTTAGATTACCCCTAGTACTCCCCAGTTTATTACTTTTGGTTAGTGTAGCTAATGAGTTAAATTAATCAAGAAAAGCTCAAAGAATTTCGTATAAACAAAATATTTTCTTCTTTTCTGTCTTCGATTTAAAAAATAGTATATTATGTAACAAGTGCGGTAAACGGCATTCGACTCACGAGTTTATTTGACACGAGCGGAGCGAGTGTTTAATAAACGAGTGAGTTAAAAAGTTTACCGAACGTGTTGCATACTATACTTCTTCTACGACCGTTAATTTTTGGGTACATTTTCGCAAAACACGAATACATTCACTGACATGACTGTCAGAATTGACAAACGTCAAAATTCAAAGCGTGGGAAATATCTCCGAAAACATCCGATTGCTCCCAAATCCGTGCGGTAAAATCCCGGAAATTTCCGAAGTGGCTCGGATTCGTGGGAAACGAAACTGACGTGGTAAAGTGACGCTTCCCGCACGCTAGATCGGTGCGTAATTAGGTATTTTACAAACGAGAGTAGAAAAAATTTACTTGGGTTTTTGAAATGAGTCATTCAGTTGTAAGTGAATTAATTAGTCTATCTCAAAAAAAAATCGAATTCAATCATTAACATTTCAAATATCTATTTTTCGAAGCATGTTAATAATTCAATATAACTTTTGATATATTGGCAAGTGCCAACCTGCAATGGAATTGGAATTCTAATTGTAGTCATTAAGTTAATGAAGCGGAAAAAACATTTTGAAACTTTAATTGCGGTATGAATACATTGGTTACCGAATAGTTTCTCAATCATTGAGAACTTTTAACTATTATGCCATTTCAAATTTGGAAGGGAAACGAGAGTAACTTTCACTGATTTTTTGAATCCTAGTACTTTTTTGATAATAGCGGGTCCATTTTTCAATTTTAGTATATTTAAAAATATTTTGGGACAACATTCTCACTTTTGAATTTTTCGATATCATGATTTTTTAAATACGTAGGAATACCAACGTTTTGAAGTCCAAAATATAAATGTAATTTATTCATTTTTCTACTCGCTTCCTTCGTAAAATACCTAAATACCTAATTATACACCTATTTAGCGTGCGGGAAGCGTCACTTTACCACGTGTGTTTCTTGTCCCACGGATCCGAGCCACTTCAGCCATTTCCGGGATATTACCGCATGGCTTGAATTTTGACATTTGTCGATTTTGGCGTTAGTGAATGTTAGTGAATTGTTTGCAAAAACCTACCCAAAAACTAACGTTTGGTAAACTTACATCCTTCGTTTATCAAACATTCTCTAATATACTATTTCCCTGTTTTTCATCTGTTTGTAATATATATAAAACTTTTGCTCGTTTCAATCACTGCAAATTGCAATCCACCTCCCCCCCCCCCACACCCGCGATTAAAAGAATCGCGTGTTGAATAAACGACCGTTGTTGCAGACGAATTTTACAACAACATCTACACAGGTCCCAGTTTGACACCGATCAGACCGGCCCCGCCTCCACCCCAGCAACCACCCGTCGTACGCAGACAAACCCGAGGCAGACTGTACTACCAGGGGCCGCCTTTGGGCTTGCCCGAAATGGAGGGGCCGAAATGGAACTGTTCCCTTTGTACATTCCTCAATCATCCAGATTTGGACAAATGCGAACAGTGCGAGATGCCCAGAGTTCTACACGGTAGGAGCAGCAACCCGAATGCTGTTAACATTAACTTAGACGCGTTAAAGAATATTCCCGCCGCCGCTACTAATCCGAACGTCAATTTCGATCTCTTGTCCAACAATGGTTTGCTAGTTCCTAACAATTCCGATATTTTTATTAACGTCGCCGGATCGTCTTCCGCAGCCAGCGCGACCACCAATACCGACGTAACGGTCGACATGCTTAGGCAATCCGCAAAGTATTTAAAAAATTTCAGAAATTCTAATGGCAATAGCAATCCTAACGTAACGTTACACGAAAGAAGTTTATCGCAATCGTCTGCAGGTTTTGCAAACTCCAGAGTTTGCGAGTCTTTTCAGAGGACCGGTTTCCTCGACGACCAAGATAATACCCCTACGGAAAGTAACCCAAACAGTTTTCCCTTGGTGTCCAGCGTGTCTGCGCCCAGTTTGTATAAATATACACTTAATGCGCATGAAGGACAGGCATGAGGGTTCATATTAATTTGTAAAAGGTACTTACCAGACGGTCAAATGATTTGGTGGATGGTCATATTTAGACGGCTGATGTGAAGAAAAACTATCGACTGTGTCTTTGAAAAGCAGTTGAAAATACCTTGTGTGCCTTACAGGATCAAGTAAATGATTTTTATACAAGTACGGATTTTACAGTAAATGTTGTTAGCCATCTACGAAATGATTCAAAATATTTTTTATTGCTGTTGCAAATGTAGGTAAGTGACTCTTCGGCGACTATTATCTTTTGGCTATGTATGGCAAGTACAATAGTACTCGTTGGGGAGTTGCAACTTCAACAACTACATTTTACCAGAATAATGTACATTTTTTAATTACGTTTTAGTAAATATTCGACCGGTTTTATTGACTATATAATTATACTGTTAATTTGACAATAAAGATTAGAAACGAAATTTGGAAGTCTCATCGAAACAAATGAATATAAAAAACTTTTGAAGTTTAGTTCGCGTTTGTCAAATTCCATTCTTTTTGTCATTCAGAAAACTGAGTTGTATATGTATAGGTATGTACTGATAAGTTTTGCATTTGTAAAACTTTCTTCATATTGTTAAAGTTTTTTTAATGAAATTTGTTAACAGCTGTGATTGAATAATGTGATAAAATCACTTTAAATCGCTGTCCCCTTGCTCCGCTTGTGAAATTTATTGTTGCTTAAATAAAATAAACGATATTTTGATTAAAGCGATGTTTTTTCGTTTTCTTTCCAGTATCTGCAGCGCCGGGAGATAATATACATATTCACGTAACGCCAAGACTGTCTAGACGTAAGATAGTTGTGTGTTTCGCCTTTCCAACTAACAAAATCGTTATCCGTGTGTTTGCATGGCGCTAAATTGAATCATCCGTTTCGCCTCACTGAAATTACTTAACACTAATACTACTTTACATTCTTGCTTTGACTTATTTTTCAGATGAATTTGTTTTGCGCTTTTGAGAAACATCTGCCATCAGTTAGGGATTAGCCAACTTCCTATTTTCAATTCGTAATTTTCGTAGTATATATGGGCCCTGTCCATACCCATAATACAGGAATTTTTGAAGGGATTATGCAAAAATATTGAAATAGGTGGTTCAATATTAGGTTTGACACAACATGCGTCGAGTTTAGAACGAACGTAATTGAAATATCCAAAGTATAATGGTGGGAAATACCGGTTACATTAGATCGGGTTCATTTTGTGTTCGTTCCACAAAAACATGGCGATCAATACCCACCGGTATTTTCGGGGGACTGGATTTATCGCAAGTTCAGTCACACCATTCGGGTTACATATGCTTGATCTGTGTATAGTATAACGTGTTATTGTGAAGGATGAAATTGCGGTTCAAACAAATGTATTTTCTTTTTTTATTCCACTTGATTTTCTTATATAATAAAAAAATGAATTTAAAGCACAATTAAACAAACAAAAATGTACTTATTTGTAAAAAAGTATTTCACAAAAAATCTAATAACAATAAATTATGTGGGCTAGATTAAACAAATTCTTGCACTTTTTGCCGACAAAAGTTCCTAGTTTTAGGCAAATATTAATTGTCTGGATACCTAATTTATCCTGACGTGATTCCTAAATAATAATCGGTTGTTTTTTTATTTAATTCGTTTTAATTAATATTTAGTACTAAAGTAACATGCATTTGGAACAGGCATTTTGTTGAACTTATTATTACTACGTTTGATACTTGTTCCCAAACAATACTGGTTTGGATCAACCCTATTTAATATCACTGCCACCTATTACCACAGCGCATGGTAAAGAGGTGGTCTAATTTCATCGTTAGCCAGGAAATAAAATTAAAAATTCGGACTACAAAAGAAAATATTTGTTATGCAGTTTTCTATTATATTTGTTTGGTAAAAATTGATGATTTCGCAGTAGAATTTGAAAGTTGCAATCATAGTTTCTGTCTCAAAGTTTTACTATATTATCCTTTACCTACAGCTAATGAAAACAATATTTAGATTTGGAAATGTTTTCAAAGTGTTACTAAACACAGTATGTAAAAGATAAGAATGAACATCATGAAGATCTCAACATTTTAAAATAAATTGCTTTGTCACTCTATCCAAGTGGTCATCGTTATAAAAAAACGTCTTATTTTTTTTTAAGATAAAGGACGTTAAAGTTTTTATTTACCAATATCTGTAACATTTTTTGATGTTCTATATTTCTGAGTTTTTTAAGTAACTATCTTTTGATTTACGAAAATGTCGGGATATCTTCGGAAATACTGCGAATGTTTTCAAATCAGTCTGAGAAATTCTTATTCTCAACTTAAGTTGTGGTTGCCTTTTCCATTATGATTTGCTAAAACCTTTTCTTTTCGTCAACTAAAGTCATTATTTAATAAATTTGCAGACAAAAACTTGTGAAGCCAGCGTGCCTCATAAATTTTTGCTAATATCCGTAATACTAAATATTATTTGATTTTTTACAAGAACTAACTATCTAATAGTATTTCCTCCTCTTTTCAGGTATAACTCACTCGTGGGTTTTATAAAGATAGGTAGGTGCAGAATACAGCGAATGGAATTGTTATTTTTTTATTGTTTTGAATAAATTGCTCACTAAATGTAAAATATGCCTAAAATTTCCCAATGTTTATTTATTGAATGTACATATGGTATAGAGATTTATTGTTTATACAATAAAAATATGCTTATTTTGATAGAAGATACACAACCTAATAAATTTGATTATTTTTGTGATAATATACATAAATAAATTGTGTTTGTGTTTTATTTGCACAATGTTTAAATTTTGTATAAAATGTTAATAATTTACTAAATATTAGTTTAAACTGCAGTGCCTCTCTCCAAATTCTGTTTAATTTCAGCAGTATGTTCTCCGTAAAACCTATCCAATTTTTTGTTAAACTTGGCATTCCTCTCATTAATATAATCAATATCTGCATCATCATTGTGCATTCTTCTTCGAGAATATTTATTTCTTTTAGCAATTTGATCTTCAACACTTTTAACTAAATTATCAACGGCTTCTGGTCTATCTTCATGTAAACCATGAACAATAGTATTTGGTCCTGCATAAAATGCTTCTCCATATCTTTCCTTTTGGGATTCATAACGCTCCATATCCTTCGGAGCCATTGTTCGTACCAGTCTAGAAAACATATTCAGATTTGGGATATAATTAAAAACCCATATGCAATAAAATATACCTATTATACTGTCTGAAAGTTGCTGCCTCAAAATCTGAAAACCCTTGATCGGGATTTTTCTTTTTCTTCTTTCTTTCAAGACGTTCTGCTTCAACTGCTGATACATTTAACAATTTGAGCCTATCATAATCTTCTCCTCTTTTAGCAGCGTCTTCTCTTTCTTTTTGATCATTCAAAATCCATTCAGCTCTCCGCTTCCTCGCTTCCCAGTTTTGAGGCATTTTATTTCTAGCATCTTCTGCCACAACTTCTTGATGATTTTGTGTTCTCGCTTCGTTTCTTTTACGATGTAGTTCACGCAATCTCTTCATCCTTTCTGCCTGTTGTGTCGCAAATGATTTGGTACCGCTTGAACCTTCGTCGCCCATTTTATACAAGGATAAAATTCTTTTGTATATTTACGAAATTTTGACCTTAATTCCAAAGCAATATTTTTTAAAAGGAAAAACACTTTCCAATGACAGATGCAGAGAAAATTAATACGCACTCCTACTTTTTCACATGTTCTGTGCCAGACAGATTAATTTGTGAAAAAAACCTTGCTTAAAAATTTTGATACTTATTTCAAATTAAATAAACCTAGAATTACTAAAGATGTTTAGGTAATTTTCATTTTGGGAGAAAATAATTTTAAAATATTTCTTAGGGACAATTATTTATCATAAACTCTTTAGTGTCGTCCTCTTTGGGGCGCCAGGAAAACTGCCAGCATTGGTGGTAGGAACCTACTATAAAATGTAAGTGATGCATCGGCTGAGAGATGGCGGCAGCAGTACACCGGCTATCAAAATAAAGTATAATCAGTATCACATTCAAATTTAAGAGAAAAACAAAAAACCTACTTTGGTGCGTTTGCAATGCAGCAATACACAAAGTCGAGCAAAAATGCGTAAAGGTTATGCAACACTGAAAACAGGAGTGCACAACTTTTGTTTTTTCGTTAATTTTGAGATTAATTCGTGTTCAGAAAACTTCTCAAATTAATGTCTGCGAACCGCGTAATGTAAAATAAATGACTAAACGGCCGGAAATGTCAGTCGCATTAATCATAATACCTAATCAAAACTATAAATTTTTTAAAGCAAAAAAACATGATAATGAGAAAAGAACGAAGGTCGAGGCAGTGTAATCGGCAACACAAACAAAGATAAAACTCTTCGATCATGTCATTCGCATTTGCTTGGTTTTAAAAAGGAGCGGTGTGGGCGAGATGCACAATTTTCTATGCCTTCGAAAATAATTAGACCACCCGCACCCGTCATTGAGATGAAAAAAAAGTAGTAGTTCACTTATGTCTGTGAGAGATTGTTATTATCCTCCTCCAAGTGATGGTCAAGCAAGTTGTCTCCATTGCTTGAGACTTTTAGTTTAAGAAACCGCGATAGATAAATTTTCTGGAATGGAATAGAATTGCATCTTTCAAATAAGCACTCCATCCAACTTGAAAGTTATGTCAAACTTTTGAAAAAATATAAAAATTTTCACGCATATAGCGTTTTTCATCAGCAATTTCCAAGAACTTGTAGATTTTTACCTATAATCAACACACCTTGGACAGGGTGGATCAAAGCTTCTATTTCTAACTTTTTTTAAGAAAAATTTTGTATTTCTGTGAAAAAATTTTGAAAGCAACTTTATGCTCAAAGTTTAAGGGCTTAAATAAAATATTTCTAAAATTAATTAGTTATTAATGTATTAGTTATTAATTAATGTATTAGTTATCAACCGACAAATAGATTTTTTGTTGGGGACACCATGTTTTCTTTCGATACCTTGAAAAAAAAACTGTAATTACTTTTAATAAAATATAAGCGCACTTGATATTTTGCTCGAGTCTTATTGAAAATACGGAACTTAAACTTCGAAGAGTAGGCATTGGAAACAAATGTATACTAGTAGTTGTCAAGTTGTACGTCGAGTCTTTCAAATAAATAGGATATTATAGTTTATGCTTTGAAAACCGAGAAGCATGCAAAGAAAGCGAGCAATTTGTGCTACGACCGATATCGTGAGACAAAACAACCTATTAAACATATTTTCGGAAGATTACAACACAACTTAAAGTGTAAGTTTGAGAAAAAGCAGCCAAAAACTATACCAACTATATCAACTCCCTATAAGTTATCAGAAGTGGTGATCTTAGTAGCCGTTCATAATAATCCTACGTCAATAAGACTAATAACAACTAACGTTAGATTAATTTTAAAAATACACACATGCAAAAGAGTACCAGAAAAGTACATGGATATGGTTAAATGTTACCGTGTACGCGTTTCCCGTTAACACTTTGAAATTTTGGAAAAAGTTTTATCTTTTTTATCTTCTTTCCAAAGTCCACTAGTTTATAGTTCGAAACAGTTCTTAAATGGTTTAAAAATATTTGCAAAATAGCCACAGAATAGTAAACAGCAAGCATTTATCCATTTAAGAACTTTTTGTAGCGGATCGACAATTTCGCAAGCCTAACAAGAAAAAGTGCAACGACCCGGCGGAAATGCGCCCCGCCCACTACGGGGGCTACTTCCGGTTACGGCGGGATTAGCATTTCGCCACCCGACGGCGGCACACTGATATCACGAGCAAAACAGGATGGACAGAAGACGACGGACTGAGCGGCGGTGTTGCCGAACTCAGCCAGTCTGGGCTATGTTGCTCGGCAGTCAAATAGTAATCCCTACGGGCTCCACAGACACGTAATTTTTTAATGACTGTTCAAACCTGGCTTGTGCGGACATACTAGCAAGTCTGTTTGAAATTTGACTTGCACAACTTAACAATCCTGAGCATGTATGTGCGTGTTGGGTCAGTCTGTTAATAAGAAAGTAAATATAGAAAATATCGCAACCAAGTAAGCAATATTTAAGGGAATTTAGAGAACTGTACAAAAGTTTTCTATGTTTATGGAAAATCAAAAGTAAAGAATGTAACCAAAGGAACAAAAAATAGAGAAGCAGAAGTAAAAAACTAAAGTAACTTTAAAAGATCCAAGTGGGGCTGAATCGGAATAACCCAAATTTGTAGTATTTTTAAGACACCGCGAGCTTCAATCAATAACAAAATAAATAAGAACTAAAAGTTCAGATTTTCACGAAATTACATATTTTCACATGACAATTGTTTCGACAACACCGTGTCTTTATCAAATGTCATGTGAAAATATACAATTTCGTGAAAATCTGAACTTTTAGTTCTTATTCATTTTGTTAAATGGATTTTCATAAGGTAAAAGCCACCTTAGTTCAATTCTTCAATCAGTACCCTAGAGTCCCTAGACAATAGGCAATGGATTTATTGCTTCTAAAGGAACACATTTCAGTACACTCATAGCACTGAGTTTCGAATTTCCATTACTTAAATAGTAAAAAAAAGAACAGAGAAGAACACCTAGAGAAAAACCAAATTGCAAGCAACCAGTACCCTACATGATGAGGAACACGGAATAAAGGTAAGGTGTTTTTGCCAAATTTATTTATTTAATTTCAAAAAAATACAATAAATACAGAGTTTATGTCTGGTATATTAGCTTCATCGTACAAACAATAAATGTTTTAATTATTATTACATTTATTTATGAAATATATTGGTTTTGCCTATTAATAGCACCATTGCCATTAGGATAATTAACAAACATTACACGTACATTCCTTGCGTCTCTTGCCAAATTATTGTTGGGTCCACTATACAGGTTATTCATTCCACAGTTGACGATATCTAGATCCACAGCTTAATGTCTGTGAGCACCTTAAGAGATTGGACAACCGCTCTACTGTCTACTTGTCCGAGCGCCCTCTATTGAGAGGTAGCGATCCTCGTTCTGTGTAGCATATGAACGCAAACGGTAGCGTCCATCTGTGAGGAAACAACAGATTCCATAAAATTTTTTCTTAATCTTAAGGTTATACAGCTGCCATCGGTATACATTTATTAGACCATTTTAGAATTCATAACACAAAAAAATCTGTTATTACTTCACTCCTCCTTCGATTTCCTTCGAACGAGGAAGTTTAAATACACTAGAAACGTGAAAAATTCTCTTGACCTAAGGTTATACCAAATTTGACATATTTTATGGTACAATGTTTGTATTCTTTTGAGGAATACCAACAAGTGATAAAAGATATTATATAATTCTTAATAGTGGCCACCACTTGATTGTCGATATCTTCCAATTTTTTTATGGTTTTGGTCGGTTTTTATGATTATGTTATGGCTGCTTTTTTTTCCTCATAAAGAGTTATAGGCATTTGAAAAATAACAATACCCATATGTGTTCTGTAATATTTAAATATTTTATATACATATTTTAACATCTACTTAGGAACATTTCAAATAAATATTTAAGAACTACATTTAATTCAAATAATCGGTTATTTCCTTTTGAATTTTTTTACTATGCCAATACGCATCTCGTACTTTGGCTTGTATTTTCACCATTTCTTGGAGAGGGGCATCTTGCCCACGATACATACAAAATTTCTCTAGCAGCTTAACTGAATATAGGGCTTGTTGAATTGTTGGTGGTGGTCCCAAATCAACTTCTTCTTCCTTTTGGTGCTCTTCCTCACCTTTCAAGTCTGTTGTTGTAGACAAACATGATCTGTCACCATAAAATCTTGCAACTCCTCACTTGTAAACGTAATTGTTGTTTGAAACTGCTTTATCCACTCGCTTAGTGGCTGATCATCTTCCAAGTCCTGTTCGCATTCTGCCTCGGTAATTAGTCCTGCATGACGATAGGAGTGTTGAATTGTTTCTGCTGTCACCTCTTTCCAAGCTTTACTAATAAAGTTGACTCCATCTAGCATATTAATGGAAAATTTGTCTTCGGACTCGATCATTTCGGCTGTAGTACACTTGTTGTTTTGGCTGGAAGAAATGCCAATTTAATATTCCGTAGATTTGGAATATGGGGATGTGCAGGGCAGTTATCTAAGAGAAGTAATGTTTTCCTCCCCTTTAATTCTGCATCCTATTTCCGTATCTCCTCTTCAAAAATTTGCGATGTCATCGATGCAGACTTGTTTGCCTTGTGAGTGACCGGCAAATGTTTGATGATCTTAAAACATCGTGGGTTAGTTGATTTTCCAATCACGACTAGCTTTCTTTTTTCTCTCTCACTCATATTGGCAGCTACTAACACTGTTATACGTTCTTTAGAAAGTTTTCCACCCACACATTTTTCGTTTCGAAATTTAAGAGTTTTATCTGGCGTCATTTTGTAAAAAATATTGTCGTCAGCTCTGCTAGTTTTGGCCATGTCTTCTCCAGCCAATCGTTAGTGACGTTTCTGGCGACATTACAGGCTTCGCCACTTGTCTGTCCGTAATTTATACCATGTCTCTGTTTGAACTTTCCCAACCATCCTTCCGAAGCCTTGAAATCGATAATGCCAAGCTGTTCAGCAAACTTTTCTGCTTTTAGTTTTACGATAGGTCCAACATTGCCCGATCCAAATCTTCAAATTTTGACTTTCTTAGTTTTTTATTAGAACTGCCTGCCGCTTCAGCCTGAATGATTTTTTCTTTGCACGTCCAAATCGTGGATACAGTCGACGGTGTAAGTCCGTATCGACTTCCCACATCACTTTTCCTGTCTCCCCGTTCTATCTCCCGAGTTAAAGCAACTTTCGGCCTACATTCCTTACTTTGTTACCCTCGTGTGCCCTTTTTTCTTTCGGTATAGAGAGTGAAAAGTTCACTAT